AATTAATCGGTATAGTCGAGAATTGTCTGAATAATTATGGGCAATATTATGTTGTAGGCCTATGGCCAATGTTGAATGGTTGTTGACATGTTGTTGTGTTGTTGTTGTGATTGAGTTGCTGCGGAATTATTGTTGATGATATGTTGATGTCGAAATGCCGCTATTTATTGGCAAGATAAAGTGGTACGCTTATGGCCAGTGTTGATTTGTTGTTGTTAAATTGCTGCTAAGTTGTTGTTTAACTATTGTTGTTGATTTGTTGTTGTATTGTCGTTGTTGTGTTGTTGTGATTGTTGCTGTGAATTTTTATTGATAATGCGAAGTTGCAGGGAATTTTAAATGACGATGAATTACTTTTATTTGCTGGTAATAATGGTGAGATAGGCTTGTGCCTTGCGATGAACGATGATTGTTGTGAATATGTGATAGTGCATTCATTGAGTCACATACATTTGCATATTTTGCAATGACCTGGATTGACAAACTGCAAAGAAGGCTTATGTTTTGTTGATGCCTCTATTAATTGACAATTATTAAGTTGGGAGTTCTGCTCCATTTTTAAGTTGAGAGTTCTGCTTCGTTTTTAAGTTGGAAGTTCTGCTCCATTGGTACCACATGCATGTGCATTGTAACGAGTCGCATTTCGTATTGCATATTTAAGTTGTTGTGTTGTTGGCTTGTGATGATTGATGTTGGTTGAAAGTTGTGAAGTGATGATTTTATATAATCTGATATAATATATTGTTTATCATAAAACCAATTATATGGTTTAATATCTCGCCCCTTCTGTTTGAATGTTGCCCTCTGTTGGTAACGTGCAGGTAATTAAGAAGGATAGATGTTACCTTCGTTAGTCTGAGTCAGTGTTGTCGCTCTGATACGTAGCACTCGAGGGGATGGACGCTTGTTGTTTTGTTGTTAATTTTACTTTTGTTGCTGAATTTTAAGTTGTTTTTATTAAGTACTGGTTATTTTGAAGTTGTTTTCGGTTGGACAAAGATATTATGTAATTTGAGTCGAAAATTGTGATTCTGCTGCTTAATTATAAAAGTTGTTTTGTTTTCAAAGACTAATTTACGTTTCTATCGGTTCACCGAGTTTTAAGTGTTATGCATCTGTTTTATATGCGATTAAATATCATTGTTATAAGTTGAAACTGTAACATCCTATTTATATGTCAAAATTTTATAACTCAGATTTTATTAATATTCGCCGGATAGGAATGGGCTATTACATTGGTCATCCAGATTTAAATAGCTTATCAAATATGTCTGAATTGTGTGAAGCTCTAACAAAGACAGGGAAGGCGGATACATATTATTTGATTGATCGACTAATCTGCCTTATCTTAATTGTTCCGGTTTCTACAGCTACTACATAAAGATCATTCTCAGCAATGAAGATAATCAAGACAAGATTGCGCAATAAGATGGAGGATGAATTTCTTGTTGACAATATGATGATTTACATTGAAAAAGAAATAGTAGACTACTTTAGGACTGATTCAATTATTGATGAACTCAAGTCTTTAAAAGAGCGGAAGGCGGTACTTTAATTCGAGGTTGAATATCTCTTTTTATATACTTTATTTTTATTTTGTGTTGAAGTTATTTTGAATATTTGAAAAATTTGTATTTGAATTTTATAAAATTTTAGTAAGTTGCAATTATAAAAATTTAGTTAATTCTTGTCGTCCCCCCTAATATTTTAGGAAAGATCTGCCACTAGATATTACATGTACATTATTCAAAAGGTTAGTGGTTTTTATTTGTGATTTATACTCTTTAATGATTTAGGATTTGTGTTTGTTTAAAGTTAAGATTTAGAGTTTGTGTTTGTTTGAAGTTAAGATTTAAGGTTAGTATTTGTTAATAAATCTAATTAGTTTTGCGTATGTGTTTTTCTCACTTGCAGATCCAACACTGGAGTTGATATATGACCGTTCAATGAAATATGAACTTTTAGGGGATGACTCTATTTTTTGGCATTTTTAAAACAAAGTATATTATATTTCTATATTTTCTTTGTGTTTTTCCCTAACTCTAACTTATGGATATGTCAGAGTTGTACTTTTGTTCAGTTGTGGTATATGGAATTATAGTCTATGCACGATCGGATTTGACTGGACCGCAGATACATTATTTTTGTATATATTTTTCTCTCTTTCATTGATGCATGTGTACTGTTTGATGAAATTCCACATAGAAATAATGTGACGTGGAACACCATGATTTTCTGTGATTTCGGGTTATACTAATGTTGGAAGTTATATGCAAAGTTTGTATCTTTTTAATCCAATTGGTTTGTTGAAGGAATGAAGCCGAATCAGGTGACTTGTGCTAATGCCTTCAAGGTAAAAAAGATCATGCATATTTTCTACATATTGTCATCTAATATTGTTTTTAAAGCCGACGAAAACTGTTGACGTGTGTCTTTTGATTTTTTATAATGTAAGGCCGAGTGCGAATCATCTTTCTGAGGAATTGACTCAAATGTGGGTTGTTTTCTGTTTTTTAAGATGTGAATATACATTAATATACATTAATCTTTAAAATTAGCACTATTCTTCTAACTTATATGTTTTAGTCAAGCATATAAGGTTGAAATGTTGCAGAGAGATTTGTCCTGTGTGATTTTGTCAGCACGTTTTGTATGGCTTCTATTTGAAAGAGTAATTTGGATATCTGGATTTTCTTCTTCTAGAAAGAAGAATTGGTAGGCTATTCTTTTATAATATTATTACCATTATGTATACTAACTATAGGAGTCATTCAACTTATAAGGTGATTGTCAATTATATAGTATTATTTAAATTTATGAGGTTTTAAAGGCGGTGATGTCAATTATATATATTATTAGGCAGTTGCTCAAAGTACAGGATGAGCAAAAGAGCAGGGCTTGGACAGGTTTCATGTTTCAGGTCATGCAAAAACAGATTTATGCATAATGGTGTACATTTGGGTATTTCTCTGCAGCTCATTTGTAGATATATTTGACGTTGATCATTTTATTAGTGTATTGAAGGATGATGCTACTATATTTAAAGAGCTTCCTGAAGAGTACTCATGAAATTCAAGGGAAAACTATGCGTTGGTTCTTAGAGATATCAGAATCAAGGCTGCACCTGTTCATGGTATCGGTTTGTTTCGATAAGGTTTTTGTCGGTTAATTGGGTTATTTGAGTTTCTTTTCCTTAGTTTGACATGTTTTGGGTTTTTGCTTGATGGTTTGGTTTTATAGACATCTGTATAAAACCGTTGCGTGCGGTGGATATTCGGTTGCCAGCCCAGCACACTCTCTGATAAAATTATTTGCCATCACTTTTCCATGAAATTGTAGAAGCAGCTGTTACTGCATTGGGTGTCATGTCCAAAGTTTTATGGTAAACTCTTGCAAACTTTGTTATGTCACTATGCATTGAATATTTGATGTACTGGATTGTTATATCACTATGCATTGAATATTTGATGTACTGAATATTTGATGCATTGTTATATCACTTTTAAAATATATATCTTTTTTTTATTTATTATTTTATTACATTTTAAAAATAAAAGTGTGCGTATCACACAAACGCACGGATAACACACTAGTATTCGTGCGGATATATAGGTATCTAAGTCAAAACTCGTATGAACGCATGGATAAACAAGTCAACATTATTGTAAGCGCACGAGTAAATCCTTATAGTATTCCAACTCTATCATCTCTAAAAAAACTTTTTTTTTCTTTTTTTCACAATTATTTTTTACATAGTATATGTTTAATAGTTTTTCTTAACAATAATATTTTTTTACAATAACAATAGTTGTTTTTAAAATCATAAACATTAACCTTTCATCCCATTTTTTATTTTCTTTTATCAACAAATTGGTGACAATTCTGCGTCCACACTAATACACGTGTGAACGCACCAGAACGTACGAATAACATGTTAGTACTGTGTGAACACACGTATAATCATTTCAAAATCAGTACAAACGTATGGGTAACACATCAATCGTGTAAAATTAATTTTATAATAATTTTCAACTAATTCTAATATTAGATATTTATTTCTCATTTATTTTATTTTATAAACTCTTTTATTACAACTCTATCAATCCTAAAAAATATATATATTATTTTTCACAATTGTTTTTACAAACAATGTGTTTAATAATTTTTATTAAGTATATTGATTTTTTAAAACTTATACAATTATTTTTCCGTCTATTTTTTATTTTTTCTAATAAGATTATAATATTTTCTAATTTGTTTGAATTCTCATGACAAATTGATAACATATTCGCAATCTACATCAGAATTTGTCCAGACACAAGGATTTCCTATTAATTTTATATCAAAAAAGAATTATTTGATTGGTTGTTATCGATTTTGTTTGACAAGAAAAAGTAAGGTATTTCTGTGTACTCTACCTCTCTCTTACTCTTCACACCCCTTTATTTTTTTTAATGAAGAGAGAGTGAAGCTAAGAGATGTAGAATATAAGGAGGAGAAGTGGATGAGAGTATACATGGAGCAGATCATGTGGATAAGGAACACTAATGTGAACAAACTAGAAACACATGGAGAAATAGCATATGAACCATAAATCTAGGGATTTGTTCAAACACCATTTAGCTCAAGTTGTCAACTAACAAATTTTTTATTATTAATGTGCACAATTATGTAAGTATGCATATTTGGAAAATAATTATAGAGAAAATGACATATTTCTTAAAGTGAAGGTTATGTGAGGTTTTGGCTTCTCAATTTCTTTTGGAATCAATCAAGTCCTTGTATTTTAAAAATTAGACAAAAATGATCTTACAACTTACTTCCCTAATATCTCCCCCTTTATGCTAAAGAATCTCAGCATGAAACTCTTACATTTGAACAACTCTAAGTAATTAACTTTGGCTGAACATGCTCTTCTTTTATCAAATCTCACAACATTTAGCAGCAAAACATTACTGCAAAACTTAGTACAAAACAGCCATCAACAGAAAAAAGTTCACATGCTATTGCTCACAACTTCACCAACATCCTTTCTATATTTAAAGACTGAGTTGTATGACTCCCACTTTTTTAATGCCTACACCATGAAATATTGCAAAATCAAAGCCTTTTTACTTTCAACTATTTCCATAATAAACTTTTTGCTTCCTAGATCAACAATTCAACCTCATACTGGAAAAGTTTTTATTCTCATCCAAATCACTCCAACACATACAAATTAAATTGTAATCAACCTCTATTTCAAATGTTGAGAAAAAAACAAAAAACAAATAAAGCATATAGAAAAAAAAATAGGAATATAATCACAACATAAAGATATAACGTGAAAACTCTAAAATCAGAGAAAAAACCACGGCTGTTGTCAATAGACAACCAAAGAATAACACTATGTGAAAATTGTTACAATACATAATATACTCTCAACTACCTCAAGCCCCTAATACACCCACACTCTCCAAAGAAAATATTTAACTACATCTCACAACACTTCTAATACAAGAATATAAAAGAACAAAGAAAGTCAAATATAAGTTTAAAGTGCTTTTGACTGATGCATCTTGTAAAGAAAAACTTGAATCTTATATATAGTCTTAGACTCCCTCTTCATTCACTAAACTAAGTGATGTGAATAGTCTTAGACTCCCTCTTCATTCACTAAACTAAGCGATGTGGAACTTGAAAAAACTTTAACTTGGGGAGTTCGGGAGAGTCAGGAGCACCAATGAAACCAATGCTCCAGAACTAAAAGAGAGGAAGACGCCACATCTCAACTCAAAACCTTAAGGTGTTAAGTAAATAGGTCATCTCTCTTATAAATCCAACATTTCACCCATTCATTAACAACGTGGGACTTTAACCACTCACAGTTGTACCCAACACCAAAGTCTCCCCTTTGTCTTATTTTGTGTTCTTGTTTAGAAAAAGATCAATGTCAGTCAAATAGAAAAAGTTAAGCTAGCAAACGTTGTTTTTCCTTTATTTTCAACAACACTTTAAAGTTAAATACAAACGAGTCTTTTGTGCAATAAAAAGAAAAAACAGTGCTCTTGTGCTGTTTACACAAATTTCCTTACAAATTTGACAAGGATCTTCCCCGTTTTTGGGATGATCGTGAATATCAAGGATCAATGTTATAGGTTTTATACGCAAAATTTGAGGGCAAAATATTATAATTGATTTTTATATAGACGAGTTATCTTACAAAATAGGAAGAAAATCAATAATAACTACCACCTTACACCAAGCTATCAACTTGTATTATAAACCATCTCAGGTAATATGATGATGAGGATGATAATAACAATATTTGTAAAATAAGATTCAGATATGAACCATTAGAAGTGATCATGATTTTTCCTTTCTATCAAACCTTGTTGTAGAGGAGCTACCCCAAATTAATCCTGCTTGACATCTACACTTCCGGGTTTAGCGGGTTCTGTCGGGGATGGTCCAGCATGTGCTTTGTCCTGATATAACATTGAGATTTGTAATTCAATTAATATTTATGTTCATGAAAGGTTCATAGATGAAATCATCAACATAATTATTTACAAGCACACACATTCACCGACACAAATATCATTCCCCGCATGCTTGATGCAAATGACCAAAAGATAATCCATGCACTGATGAAGCCGCAAAACTCAACAAGGGCGGCCAAACGATTTCTCGTTTAGACCCAATACATCTTTAAGATAATTAAAAAAACAATAGATTTCTTCTCAATAAAGAATGTCTGTTACTATCGTTAACACAAACCCTTAACAGTCAAACAAAATATCATAATGGACAACGGGCATTTGAGCAATATTAGAATTATTCCTGGGGATACCAACCCTCTAATAATCATGTATGAGGTAACAAACTAACAGGGTAAAAAACAGGGGAATAGAATTCGCTTCTAATACAAATTTTCCCTTATTCATTTCACCAATTATACTTTATTAACCAACAAATCTTATGGAGCATTATCAGTTATAGTTCAACAACAACAACTAAGTTTTATCCTATAACGCGGAGTTGGGTAGGAATGTTAAATGGTGCCACAATGTTTTATCGCAAATCATATCTATAGCCAATAAACACTGGCCTCTAAATCTTGTGAATAGTATAGTTGGTCTTCCTCAGCCTCTAGCAATAGCATAACCCTTTGTTAGATCTACCCTCCTTACTATAAAATCTACAGATCTCCTCTGCACATGCCCAACTCACCTTAGTCGAAATTCAACCATCATTACTACAATGGTTGCTAACCCTACTTTCTCTCAAACTATTAGTTATAATAAAGCGCAAAATTTAAAGTTGAAAATAATAAAACAATTTTTTATACAATTCATCATACTTTTTCCTTTCAAACTCAAGTAAAAGTATCCTCACCACAAGGGGGGCAGTCCATGGAATCCTACAGGCTGCAGAGTACAAACAACTCAGGAATTTCAAATGAATAACTATTTGTTCATTGGATTGAGCTTTCCTCTTTTCCTAATTTTCAGTCACAATGTTGAAGTTCTTTGAATCTAAGCCATTATATACACTTGGGCTAGTACAGAAAGGCAAAGGCATCAACATTTAAAGCTTACAAAATCACTTTGCTGGTGATAGATACCCTTCAAAACAAGACACCGAAAAAAATATTTCTATTACTTATAATTCTGTGTTAACATTAAAGATCATAAGCACAACTAATAAAGCAAAGGTATTCGCATTTGGTAGCAGAACCCAAAACATTATTTTGCTAAACTGAAAAACTATCCCACAAGATCATATTTCCAGTAAATACTTCTAGAGAGAGATACTAAAAGGATCACCACTTAACTATATTCATTAAAGCTCGTCGCTCATGAAATCGTTCAACATTTCTAGCAAAGATGGTCTCATATCTTTTAATATTTAAGTTAACTCAAAATCTCAACAAACTAAAAGAAACTTGAAGTACAACAAAACAGTTATCCATTCATAAGCTCTTCAGTACACGCAGAGCAGGCATTAGTTCATCTAATGAATTTCAACATTCTTTAACTTCATCAAAGAAAGCCTCAAATCAAATCTAATTAGTTTCCCCTCCATGCTCACATAATTTTAAGCCATGTCTTAACATCCATTATTCCCTCTGTAGCCCTGACACCTCGGAAAAAAGGTGTGTCCGTGTCAATGTCGGTATCTGAAACCGACACCAACACTTGTGATTATGTTTAATTTATTCATTTTTTTCAAATCATCATCGGTCGACATGTCAGTGTAGTGTCAGTGTCGTATTTCTGGTGTCCATGCTCATAGTTATTAACCCACAATGTTCAAATAGATCCACAAAAGCCACGTATTTATCAAACATGTCATAAAGAATTCTAACATTTTTTTGGAGAAAAATAATTAACTCACTTTACTAATAGTGTTATTTGAAGACTTGATAGGACATGCTGGAGGAGCTCTCTCTGGTTTCCTATACTCCCAACCAAAAAGCCCATAGATTTTCCCCTGAAAACAGAAAAAATAGGATCACAATTCACAAATGCATGCTCAAAAACAATGTAAAATTTCTTAGGTATGAAAAAAAAAAAAGAAATTTGCAATACCATGATAAAATCGAAGAGTAGAGGAAGAACGTTGACGATTGGGACGAGAAAGAGGGGAAGCAAACAAACTAAGCAAACCTAAAACAAATTTGAGAAAAATTGAAGCGTAAATTGAATTAACAAGAACAAATCGTAGATTGAAAGAATTGTTATTACTATGACACTACCATGGTGGCGCGAAAATCGATGATGGTGGTTGTTTCGATCGTCGATTGACGGAACCAGGTTGAGGTAGGAGAAAGCGAATGCGAAAGCGAGATAGTATTGTAATTTCAGATCGAAACTGAGGGTGATTTTGTAAATTTAAATGAAGGGAGAAAACGTAAGAAGGAAAAAAAATCCGACCTACCGGATTCGAACCAGTGACCTAAGGATTATCTGCTGCTAGAAAGCCAACTACAGTCCTCCGCTCTACCAACTGAGCTAAGGTCGGTTGATGAAATCATTTTTCGTTAAAATATATAAACAATAAACAATATATATTTATATATAGTATGTTATTTAATTTTAATTTTAACGTGTTAGTTCAATTTCTGTTTGCATGGAGTAGACCCTGGTTTGAAATGCCTACCTACCATACTATGGACAGTAAAAATGTGACACTTAATTTGACATGATAATAATTCTAAGGATGAAATATGTTTTTAGTCTTAATAATATTTGATTTATATAAAATTATTATACACATAATTTTAGTCTGTTATTAAATTAATATGTATAGATTATTTTGTAAATATATTTAAAATGTTATAAAAAGTTAAAAAAAAAAAATTTAAAATTTAATTTTTAAATTGAAATTTTCATTATTTTTTAAAATTTTAAAAATGTATATTCAATTCTTTTCATTTTAAAAAATTTTAGAATTTAATAAAGAAATATTTTATAATATTGTAAACATGTATGAAGAAAATTATTTAAAAATTTAAAAATTTAAAGGTAATTAAATAATTTTTATTATTTTATAATTTAATATATTTATAAATTTCAATATTATTTTACTATTATTATAAAATTCAAATATTTTCTCTACTAACTCGTAATTATTTTTTTATTGTATTAAAATTATTTTTGACCATGCATTAATAAGATTTTTTATATATTAATACATTTAAAAAATACCTAACCAACACCAAATCTCTTTTTTTAATTTGATTAAGTCTAAAATAAGTTTCAAAAAAAGGATTACGAAGATACTTTAAATCGACTGCGAATTTCGTCTAACAACTCCGTTATTCACACACCCAGACTCAGTACGAGAGAAATTCAAAACATCTTTGTAATCCATAAAAAAACACCAACCAGCTACGAACTACGAATTGAGATTCTGATTTCTCATAAGAGGATACGTAGGCATACGACTAAAATTGTGGCGAGTTTCCCTAATAAAAATTAAAACCCTATTTCCTAAAAATTGCAATTCTAAACCCTAGTATCCTTGTGAACAAGGTAGATGAGGAGTGTCTAACACCTTTCTTTCATCTAAAACGAGTCAACAACTTAGAATCTCTGACCAAATTAGGGTTATCCGCTATATTCCCTTCCCTAGAATAAAAATTAATGGCGATGACTCTCATTTTTAAACCGGTTACAATAGCTTGAGACTTTGCTGAGGATTTAACCCTAGGATTTAGAAGCCTCTCTCTTTAGGTTTAGGGTTTTTATTTGTTTTTTTACTGCTTTCAATATTTGTCTTTATTTATTCATTTGCTTACATTTATTATTTTGATAATATTATATTTGAGGGGATTATTTATTTCTAAAAAAAATATTTTTCAAAAAACCCTTAGAATGAAGGCTCGTCTATTAGCCAGGGTGATACATCAACCCTATGAGTTTATGTGACGACTTCGCCTAGAGTCGGTGGAATTTCGCAAAAGGAATACATCTCAAGAGACATCCTCTTGGGAGTAGGACTTTGGAATGAAACTTATGACTCTTTGTATAACTCTTAAACCAAAATCTCATTGTGAGATCTTTCATGACCTAGAGACGGAAGTTTTGGTCTGTAAAGAGGTTCCACTTAAGGGAGGCCCTTGTGCTTTTCCCTCTAGTGTTATCCATGATACCCTTAAGGAAACCACCTTTAGAATATACGTAGGCCAAAACTAGGAACCTACCATATAAGGATACTTTTCATGAAATCTCGTCATTAAGCTACACAATCATGCATTCATACATCTTGTATTTCATATATTCATTACCCTCCATTTCTTTTTGTTTGTCTTATTCACAGGATAAAAAATAATAATAATCAAAGGTTTTTGGTGAAGTGTCCTAAAAATAAATGCCAAAGGGAAACAACTTGTCTGTATCAATGCCATCAAGCCAGATATGACAAAAATTAAGGCTATAAAAGAGAAACTATCTGAAAGAGCTTTGAATATTTTTACTCGCTGTTATGAGGATACCCTTGAATTAACAAAAGTAGAGGTACAATTGGATGATGTTTCTACCCTAATCCAGTTCTATGACCCTCCATTGAGGTGTTTCACCTTCCAAGACTTTCAGCTAGCACCGACTCTGAAAGAATTTGATAGACTTTTGGGTTTCTCTAAAGGGAAAGCTTATGAGGGAATCGGGCAGACTATTGATGTCAGAATCCTGGCAGAGGGTTTAGGGATCCCTTATCATGAATTGTCACTTAATTACAAAAAAAAAGGTAATGTACGAGGGATTAAGAGATGCTATTTAGAGACTAAGACTCTCGATTTTCCGATAACAAAGAATGGGAGTCTTGTGTTGATTGTTTAGGACTGCTTGTGTTTGGTGTAATCTTATTTCCACAGACTTTGGATTATATTGACTCTGTGGCTATTAGCGTATTTTGGGGTGTAAAAGTTTTCAATACAGACCCAACTCCCGCTTTACTTGCTGATATTTATTATACACTTTATACTCGGTACGAAAAGGAAGGGGTACACTAAACGGTTGCATCCTACTCTTGTATTTTTGGTTTATGACTCATCTCTATAAGGAAGATTACATGATTCCAAATCTGACGAGATATGAGTGGCCTCAAAATTTAAAGTCTCTTATTGTTAATTCTGCATTATGGTATGCTACAAAGTTAGACATCGGGGATATTATCTATAGTTGTGGAGAATTTTTGAATGTTCTATTGATTGGATCACGGAGTTGCATCAATTACAACCCTACCTTGGCTCTACGACAACTAGGGGTACCCTTTGGAGGATAAACCCTCAAATGAACAACTTCGATAATTGATCATTCATGACATGGGCAAGAACAACCAAGAATTGCTCAATAAGATCATCTGAGCTTGGAGTAGGGTTAATAAAAGAAAGGCTGAAAGGAAGAATGTTGTGGAAAAAGAACCTTACACTCGATGGGTTTTGGATAGGATATGAGTTGTTAAATTACCGTTTGATGTAGATCCTGAGTACAAGCCAGATGTCCCAGATTCTCTGTCTATGTCCTCAGAAGAAATAGATAATTTGAAGAATGCTTTGAAACAAGCTCAAATGGAGAAAGAAGAATTGGAGCTTAACCTCCATAACATAACTAAGGAGAAAAGGAAAATGCAACACATACTTGAATTAAATGATCAACAGATTCAGAAATATCGGGAGGTATTTGAGAAGGAGAGTCTAAAGCGGAAACATTCGACCGAAGGGTTGTTAAGTGCTACTTTCAACTTGGATTCCCACAACCAACGGTTGGAAAATGCTGATAGTGAAACCAGGAGATTAAATAGGTGGTATGAAAAGGTAGTGCAGAACAAGAAGGTGATGGAAGAAGATTTGATAGCTCATATCCAAAGTTTGGAACAAGCTTCTTTAGATTAAGAAGAACAAATGAAGTGTCTCACCACCAGACTCCAAGATGTCCAATAATCAGAGGTAGGGGAATGTCTCAAAAGGATGATGGCAGAAATATTTCTCGCCAAGAAGACTGATGAGTACGAGCAAATATGTCTTGAGTTAGAAGGCATCCAAAAGGATTTCCTAATACAAGGGAAAATCTATACGGAGATGAGGGATGAAAAATTATATTGGGAAGAGCAGTATGTAAAGATCACCAAAGCAGGGGAAGATAATCACAAGATAATTCTTTATCTCTATCGAGAATACTGATCCTACAAAGACAAGCATGCAAGACTCGCCTTCTTAGCCAACAACCTTATCAGAGACATCCCTAGGAGCTTGAGAGATGCATAAAATATGATGGTCCCTCTTCCTAAAGACGTCGAAGACTTCCTCAAACTTTGTAGAATGATGGTCGATGGCTTTAGAGCAGAAATCTGCAGGCGCACTTAGAAGACTTTTGTTTCCCTTTGTTTATTTCTTTCAGCAAGTGTAATGTTTTAAGTTTGAATATTTTTCAATATCTGAATTGTATTTTTTTTTAAAGACAATTACTATTTTAATAAATGCATTTTGTTTCTGTTTGCGTATTTATTTTTTAGATACTCATAAATAAAGAAGTAAAACCTATATATATTGTAACACGATGGGAGAACTGAGTTGGTGTTTTGCGTTTGATCACATTTATTGCGGATAGCAAGAGTCGCCACCGACTTTTCTTTTATCCGATAAGGAAAGGCTGAAAAGAACAGGAAAGACCTTTTGAGATTATTTCTTAAGTTTGGGGGTAGGTTATGAAAAGGGAAGGTGTTAGCACCCTTTTCATCCGGAGTTATCTACGGGCTCTTAGTTGCTTGCTAGATCACTTGCTTTTTATTTGAAGATGTGCTTGTGGTGTGGGTTTTGAAAGTATTTTGAAAATGTCTTTGTAATGGTTCTCGTCTCTATAAGAATGCATACAAAGTGTTGTCTTTTAAAAATGTTTCAAAATGAGAATGTTGGTGTATAAAATGTTTTTGTTGTGATCAAGCGAGCAACTAGGAGCATCCTACCTACTCAAAAGGTCTTAAACGTTCTTTTCCTTCTCCTTTAGATGTTGCTATCTTACCATTGATTTGGTAAGAAGCCCCATCATTGGATGTGAAGGGACGGGCGTGGGACGTTTGTATAGTCATAGAAGGAAACCTATGGGACGTTTTAGCAATGTCGTTTAAGGACTTGATCGTTTACCAAAGGAAATATTGAGGGTCATCGAGGGACTATGATCTTTTATTTAGGGTTTTTGCTAAAACGCCCATATTCGAGGGACATGACTATTTTTCTGAGGCAACAAGTGGAATTACCCT